ATTAGTACCTTATGGGAATCCATTAGGTTGGAAACAAGATCCAGATCTCCATGGACAGGCTGGTCCTCTGCAAGCTGAGGTTCCACACGATACAGCCAGTCAACAAGTGCCTGGAGAGCCTCAGCAAACTGACCTGAGAACAAGAGGGCTTCCTCCAACTTGTGTTGCCTGAGGAGAAAAAGATTTCAAATTATTTTTTCTTCTTCACTATATTAAACATTCAATCATTACTCAAATGGCTCAAAAAGTCAGATGCCAGAATTTCTCACCTCTCCACGCTCTTTCCACAAACTGTGTCCCATTTGTCACGGACCTCACCCAACAAGTTGTCCAGTTTTTGTGTATCCGCGGGCAGTGTGGCCTTGTCTCTCATGGCCTTCCCAGAGCGCACTGTCGTGTCATACACCGGCTGCTTGGAGCCAAGAGACTTCTGGAAATCCTGCAGTACAGTGATTAACAGATAAGAGGGCATAAGAGACAAGTCTAAAAGTTTTTAACTTCACATAGCATTTTAATGCATGTAGGCTGTACCTTATGTTTGGCCAGCTGGACTTTAATCTTGTCAGGCTCATTAGAGATTTCCAGCTCAGAGTCCAGCCTGCTCTCTGCTTCCTCCAACCAGTCTGTCAGTTTCCTCCAGGCCTCATGAAACTAGACAAGAGAAGACTGCCAACTTCAGACACAGAGAAAGGCATGATCAGAGCAACACGGAGTGAGGTAAACCAAAATATACCTGTTTGGCTCTCTTGCGGGCCTCATCCAGGTGGCGTCCTCGGTCTAGTGATCTCTGCACCAGTTTGTCCCAGCGGGCCTGTACACTGAGCAGCAGGTTCTTGATAAGAACCACATCCTGTTTGAGACTGGCAAACCGCAGCTGAGAGCCAGCTTTCTCCAGAGCCAGAACCTGCTCTCTGTGAGTGTTCACCTCATTCACAAACACCTGAAACATACAGGAATAAAGACAAGGACTTAAGTTACTCAAAAGTAGTACATTATCAAAACTCTTAACAAAAGCAAAAAATATATGTAGTACTTAAGCAAGCCACATTTTCTGACCAACCTTGTGCTCATCTATCTGGAATAGGACGGTGTCGAGAATGAGGCTGGGTGGCTGAGCCATGTTGAGAGTCTGCTCTGCCTGTGTCAGCCAGTTTATGGTGTCCTGCAGGGAGGTCTGGAATCCTGTCGCCAATGAGACAGCTTCCTCCAGTTTACCCTGTGGAAAGAGACGGACACAGAGGCATCTTAGGATTGGAAGGCAGAACTAGACACTTCATTCATCTGTTCATTAATTATCAAATCTGTTATTTAAACATGAATGTTAGATCATAAATCTCACCCTTCTGTCATCCATTTTGGCATTGAGACTGGCCCACTTGTTCTGTAGCATAGCCAGGTTCTGTTGGGTCTGGGTGGTACCAGGTCCAGCATCCTCCCCTCCTCTGGCCAGCAGAATGGACTCTCCCTTATCTAGTAGCCGATGGTACGGCTCACTCCTCTGGGTCAATTGACCCTGGAGCTCCTATAAACAGGAAAGAGCAGGATAAGTTGATTATCAAAAAGTGTTGCGATTAACTAAAACTACTAAATTTGTTTTTGTTAACTGAAATAAAGCTGAAATATAAATAACAGATGAAAAACGTAACCGAATATTAGAAATGCT